TGCGGACATAACACAGTATGGATTCATATGAGAATCATATTTGAAACGACATTACATTACTCTCAACCCCGTTACATCAGCACTAAACATCGTTACATTAACGCTAAACCACATTACATTAACACTGAAAGACATTACATCAATATTGAAAAACATTGCATTCTTAAATAAATAACATTACAATAACATTACACAACGTTACATTAACTCTAAACCATATTACATTAACACTATAAAACATTTAACTAACACTAAAGAATATTACAATAATACTAAACCACATTACATCAAGGCTAAAACACATTATACCGCCACTAAGACATCACATTAACACTAGAAGACAGCAAGATGTATACCATCTCTTAGATCCATAATCTAAATTTTCATCGTAATTAAACTCAAATCACGATGAAGATTTCTACGTAACGTGGACAATGTAATTGTACTATGATTTATAATTTATATGTATTCTTTAGAAAATATGGTTGTAAAAAAATTATAAATGTAAATGTAATTGTAATAATACGAATTATAATTTTTACGTATTCCTTGGAAAATATGGTTGTAAAATAAATTATTTACTTTGTGTAGTATTTATTTAAGACTAATTCAAATACTTTATGGCATTTAATACATGTTTCTTTCTTTTGCTCTTTCTCTCTCTCTCACTCTTTTTCTCTCTCTCTCTCTCTCTCTCTATATATATATATATATTTTTACAATATTCTATAAATTCTACCAAATGTTTGGCGTTAGCATCATATTTTTCTTTGTCACTATTTACGATGCTAGTTTTTATTACTTCTTTGTTTTCGTTGTTGGTTAAGCGCCGGGTTGGAAGTGAGTTGTCATTTTTTGTTGTATATTTATTTTTGGTTTATTGATGTCAATTAGGACTGCTTCTGCAATTTTAAGATGCGTGTAGTTGCTGTTCTGGTATATTACTTTGGTGTTGCTGTCGAGGTTGGTATCGATGAAGAAAAGGAAGACCAAAGAAGATGACCAGCCAATAAAGAAACCTGACACCTAATTCGCATCAAAGTTCAATTTTACAACACCAAAGTTAATTTTTACAACGTCAAAGTTCATCTTGACAAAGTCAATATTTCCCTATATATACAGCAAGGAGCACTGATGATGATTCATTCGGAATCGAAGTATGGCCTTATTTGCAGCATGAATTCGAAAAATAAGTTTATTTTGAATTTTAATAACTAAAAAACTTTAGTGAGAAAAATCGAAAAAACGAACTACAAACATATTAACGCCAAACATTCGGTAGAATTTATAAAATATTGTAAAAATTATGGTCTATTACCAACATATATATATATATATATATATATATATATATATATATATATATATATATATATATATATATATATATATATATATATATATATATATATATATATATATATATATATATATATATATATATATATATATATATATATATATATATATATATATATATATATATATATATATATATATATATATATATATATATATATATATATATATATATATATATATACGTGTACCTTCCTTCTTATGAAGTGTTTTAATTACTGTGTGGCTATTTAAAAACGCCATTATTTACTAAACTTATTGTCGTCGTCTTCATCATCGTCATCATCGTCGTAGTAATAATCATCTCGGCTATTTTATTATATTATTATTATTATTATTATATAATGATGTAATTAACATTATTATTATTAATAAAAAATTATAACAATTATTATTATCGTCAAATTATTATTTTCCAAACTGTCACCACTTTCATTTCAGCATAATTATCGATGTTGTCAGTTTTACAGCTACCATCATGACGTCATCACGACATCATCAACTACTACTAATACTAATAGTAGTAATAATCATCATCATCATCATGGCTTTCTTCTTCATCACCTAATTTTTTTTCTTACCTTTTTTCTTCCGCCCATCCATCCATCATTAACACTCTCAGCATCATCATTTGAACGTAGGTGTGAAAAAGTCTAATTAGTAAATAATCATGCCTATGAGTGTGTTTTATTGTTTGTTTGTTTGTTTGTGTGTTTGTTTGTGTGCGTTTGCTTGTTTGTTTGTGTTTGTTTGTATGTGTTTGTATGTTTTATTATATCTTAGTTTGTGTGTATATCTTTGTTTTTGTGTGAATATTTTTTTATATGTGTGTATATCTTTGCATATGTGTGTAAATAGGCATCTTTGTATGTGTGTGTGAATATCTTTGTATGTGTGTGTGTGTGTGTGTGTTTGCATGTATGCAAACTGGTGTACGTGTGTGTCTGTGCGTGTTTCTGAGCCTTTTTGTGTGTAAAAAATTTTGGTTGTTGTATGTAAGTTTATTTATAAATGTATTTTGTACGTAAGTGTTTGTATGTGTCTGTATGCCGTGCATGTATGATTTCCTTCACATTTACACACCAAACTGCTTGCAGAGATTGTTGTTAAAACAAACTCTTGTATGTTTTTCTCATTTTTTCTTTGCGTACACCTCCTATATATACAATTAAGACCGACATATTTTTTAGGTGAAAATTTAATATCGTTGCGTTGGTGGTTTCTTGAAATCAATAATGTTGGAATAATGTAATTTCTTGAAATATAAGTTAATAATAATAATAATAGTATTAGTATTATTATTGGAGGAGTAACTAACTATTCTTGTGAAAATTTGTCTGATAATCATTGTCAACATCTTCATCGTCATCATTACCATCATCATCACGATCATCATGATCATCGTCATCATCATTGTCGTCGTCGTCATCATCATCCGCATGATCGTCGCCACATGCAGACTAACAAAATGTTGACTCAACGTGACTAAATGCTTGAATGTTAAATAACACATATAAAAATAATAATAATAATACAAATAATCATAATAATAACAACAACAACGATAACGATAATGAAAAATACGAATAGACACAACAGTTGAAATACGACAATAAAAATAATAAGAATAAAAATAATATTGGTGATAAAATATTTCACTTATAAGTTTACTTTGATGCGATCAGAATAATTAGGCCAAAATCATCGTCATCATTATCATCATCGTCATCGTCGTCGTCATCATCATTATCATCATCGATGTCATCATCATCATCATCATCATAATAGTTATCTTCATCATCACCATTATTATTATTATTATTATTATTATTATTATTTCGTCATCATAATCGTCATATTAATCATCTTCATCATCAGTATTATTATTATTATATAAAACCCGAAGAACAATGACACCCTCATGAATAAGAATCACTATATAACATGAACAACAAAATAAACAACAACGATAATAACCACAAGATGATGAATAACAATATCAACACGAAACAAACAACAATATCAATGAAAAAAAATATATATATAGTTCTTTGCACAGACTAAAGCGCCGTAATCATCTTAATCATCTTAATCTATCTTATCATCTTAATCATCTTAATCTATCTTAAACTATCTTTATCATTTTAACCATCTTAATCATCTTAATCTATATTAAACTACCTTTATCATCTTAAGCATCTTTATCATCTTAATCTATTTTAATCTCATCACAACCTAACTACATTTACTAATGCCACACTTCCTTGCTGCTACTTGTACCAGTTATGTTGATGCCATGTTGATGCCATCTTGTCCTATGCAACAGTTGCTGGTTTGAGTGTTATTTTGATGTGATGTGACGAGATCAATGTTAGTATATGTAATGTTATCTTAGCTTTTATAGGTGTTGTTAAACCGCTATGTCTTGTGTGTTGTTGTTGTTGCAATTATGATATTTTTCAAGTTGAGGATAAAACTAATAATGTTTTAGTTGATGATGTTTTTGTCATTGATGATGTTATTGTTGTTACTGCTATTGTTGTTGTTTATGCTACAACGTTTCTGTTAGCAATGTTAACGATGTTATTTTGGTCCTAGTACTTATTAGCACTGTTTATTAATCAGCAGTTTTTGTCGTCTTTTAATTAACTAAATAATAAGACATAAGTGCTTATGGAAGCATTGTTTTAATTAAAACACACTCTCTCCCTACTTCACTCTCTCTCTCACTTACTTCTCTCATTTCTAATTGCTTTTTCTCTTCAAACAAGCTCTCCGGTAGACATATGTTTAGATGTTTAGATTTAGTGCGCGATATTTCTGGTGAATTTCGATCGCTAATTGCACGGCCGTTTAATTAGTTGCAACAACAACGCAGACGGGTGGACAGACGCAAACTCGAATTGAAGCGTTTCATTTTTTCGAGATTACTCTGTGGTCTTGAAATGTTTTAGTTAACTTTTTGCTGCCTTCTTCTGATTTTTCACTGTTCTGCAAAGTTTCCGAACAACTTTATTGTCTTACGAAACTCTAAACACTCTCTCCCTCTTTTTCTCTTTTTGGAAATTTCATTTATTTTTCCGATTTCTATATCTTCTATCTCTCTGTGTAACTTTATTTTTTAATTTCATTTTTTATTCTCTCTCACTTTAATGTTTCTAGACTTTCATTCCACCATATTTTGACTGGTAATTACATAGCGTATATTTTTGTATAACGTTTGTAATGAAACATGTCGATAAACAAAATCCAGTAAATAAACGTAATTATACAAAATTAAACATACACATACAAACAAAGGCACATTAACAAAGGCACATTAACAAACACACAAACATGAAAATACACACACACACACACAAACAAAGACACAGAATGCAAGCAGGATCTGTTGGAGAAGTCGATACTAACGATCTTATCGGAAGTGCATTGGAAACACTATTATCAAGACCATCACTGCAATCATCATCATCATCATCGTCATCATCATCATCATCATCATCGTCACCATCATCATTATCGTCATCGTCACCATCATCGTCGTCGTCATCACCATCACTCTAATTATCATAATCACCATAATGTTTTTTATTTAGTTTTATTTTTTTAATTTTTGATTTAAAAATTTTTTTTTTCTCAGGAAAATGTTCATCGGAGGTTTGAGCTGGCAGACAACAGCCGGTCAGTTAGGATTTTTTTCGTAACTTAATATTTGATGAATTATTAAACATGCAGCCTAATATTTTTTAACTGTTTTAACTATTTTTTAATTTGAACAATTTATTATATTTATAATTATTAATTAATTATCTTTAATCTCAATCCTTACATAGTTTTTGTATTTATAAACTAAAAATTATTGAATAATTGATCAATCATTTAATTATCAAGATAAACCAACCAACTGACCGACCGACTGACCAACTAAAATGACAAACAATAACTAATTCATTTACCAAGAAGCCATCTAATCTACCAATCAGTTTATCAATCAGTCAACCAACCAACCAACCAACCAACCGGCCAACCAATCAATCATCAATTAATCAAACCACCAAACAGAAGTCTTGCAAGATTACTTCACGAAGTTTGGAACGGTCAACGAGTGTACCATTATGAGAGATCCTGGAACCAAGCGATCAAGGTAGGTCTTATAACAATAATAATAATAAGAACTTAATAGAAAATATCGACTATTAAATAAATATTTTATATTAATCAAAATTTTACAAAATTTCACAAAAGTTTCACATACATATATGCATAGCATTGTGATTAACACGTCTTCAACAACAATAACAGAACAACTGACTTACTGTGATTAACACGTCATCATCAATAACAACAACAATATTAACATACATAAAATATTTTTAATAATGACAAAAATAACAGTTGCAAAACAAACTAGGAATAACAACACAAACACAACAACAACAACAACGACAAAAAACACAACAACAACAACACTAATTAACATAAGAATTAATAGTAGCAACAGAAACTGTTACAACATCTTTAACAACAAACGACCGCAGCAGCAACAAACTACAACAACGACAACCAAGAACAACAATCAAACAACAATCAAACAACAGACAACACTAATAATAATAACGCTAACAATTACAACAACAAAAATAATTATAAAATAATTAAAGAGCCACAAGTGTAAGATGCGATGCAGGGTAGTGCTTTCAGAATGACATGTAACCAAGCTGTAAGATAAATCAGGCTAACATTTATAACATTGGTAATAACCATAAAACTAATGCCTCCAACTTATGTAACATTAACTCTCTCTCTCTCTCTCACTCTCTCTCTCTCTTTCTATCTCTATTTGTTACTTTGTTTACATTATTATCTTTCTCTCTTTCTGGCTTTGTTAACATTACCCTTCCTGCTTTCTCTCTCTCTCTCTCTCTCTCTCTCTCTCACTCTCTCTTCCTTTATTAACATTAATATTTGTCACTCCATTTCTCTTAATCTTCTTGTTACTTTGTTGTCATTCCCCTCTTTATTTTCCTTCTTTTTTGTGTTACTTTGTAACTAACACTGCTGTACCCTGTAACATTATATACATTCCCCCCCCCCCCCCCCTCTCTGTCTTTCTCTCTCTATTTATCTCTCTCTTTTTCTCCCCCTTACTTTGTTAACCTTACTGATGACCCAACCCTGTAATATATGTGCCATGTGTTTGTTAATCACCTGATATTATGGGGATGTTTTTACTGGTTGCGGGCTGTTGCGTTGTTTACCTTGCCAAATGGGAATGATGGCGATGATGATGATGATGGAAAAAAAAATGATGACGATGGCGATGACAGTGAAAATGATCTTGATAATGATGATGATATTAAGGCGATTAAGTTGATGATAAAAATTATGATAATAATAATAATGATAATAGAATAACAATTATAATAATATAATAATAATAATCATGAGTTTAAATTGAAATGATGAAAAACAACTAACGAGAATGATGCTGATGATAAATGATGATGATGAACGTGTCGCCGATATCTGAGAAGACTTCGGTTTATTTTTTTAGGGTTTCAGAATTTAAGTGGTGTTTAAAATTTTTTGGTGATAATGAAAGTAGTGACCAAAGCAAACAAATGATAAAAAATTTGATGAAAAAAAAGATGAAATGATGACGAAATGAAGACGGGGAAATGATGACGACGACTAAGACGATGACAATGATCACATTTTGATTAGCACGGCCTCGCATGATGTAGCGCGTCTCAATTTTCAAGAGATTCCACACGACAAATTCAACCTTCTTGTTAGATGGATGCCCTCCTATGAATACCTACACACACATATACACACATATACATACATACATACATACATACATACATACATACATACATACATACATACATACACACACGCACCATATACAATACACAAACGTGTATATACAGTTAAATTAATTATAGAAAATGAAAAAATTTCCATAGACGATTTGACAACTAATATTAATGAACCATTTAGACCGTTTCAACAATTTTTTTTTATTTCAATCACAGAATTAATAATCAACAGTATAAACACGCACATTTTCACACACACACACATACACACAAACATATAACACATACATTCACACATACATATATACATGGATACATATAAACGAACAAACGACACAGACATGCAATGTTATATATATATTCCCATATTTAGTACATGAAAGTATGCATCCAAGTTTCTTTCCAAATTAAATAAACACCAACACGCGCACATAAAGATAACCAAACTAAATAATTTTTAAATAAACATTTCAATAAAGTTTTAAACAAAAAAATGCCAAAAATTTCAAGAAAAAAAATTTATTTATTTTTTGTTCAAACTCGATTAAGAATCACTTTTTATGAAACAAAATGACGTATGGTAAGGTGAGGAAAAAATTATAAAATGTTACAGCTTTTTATCCGTAGGCAAAATTTATGTGAGATAGTGCTGCTTGAAAGATTTGAAAATCTAAAATGAATTTACTTTCAAGACCACCTTTCTGAAAGATGGTTTGAAGGATGGTCACCGTTTATTGCATAAGTCTGTTTTTGAAAGCATCCACTTACAGGCTCAAATGTTTA